GCCACGGGAGGACAGGACGCCGGGACATGTAGGGCGCACTGGAATGTAAGCCGGCCGACTCCCTGCGTTCAGGTGCGGGAGGGGGTGTGGAGCTGTATTGAAGTCAATGGCATCGCCCACATTGCGATCGCCCGCACTCGGAACGCAGGCACGTTAGTGCCTGCATTCCGGTCCAGTGCGATCTGCAAAAATAGTGCTTGCAGCATTTTTTGCGGATCGCACTGGACTGGAACACAGGCACTAATGCAGGCGATCGCACTGTGGGCGAGGGGCCTGCCTGCGGAGCCTGGCTGCGGTGCCATTGACTTCAATGCACCGCCACGCCCCCTCCCGCCCCTGAATGCAGGTGTTTTTTCGTTGGTAGATCTCAATGAGCTCATCAATTGAAAAGTAGATCTCCAGAAGAAAAAATAGTGGGCGCCCCTGCCTTATAGCCTAGTTTAAAAATTAAACAAAAAAAAGCAACGTAACGCAACACGTTAACATACTATGCCAATGCAATTGTCATGTCCAATGAACACATTTCGATGCATCCTTAACCTAGAAATGCACTCTCCAGGAAACAAAATAAAGCTTAATGATTTCTCTCTGCCTTAAGGAGGAACAAAGGTTCTTAGGTAGGGGTGGACTGATGGGAGGAGGAGCAGAAGAAAAAGCGCAGCATAAGTGATGAATGTGCAAAAATAAACAGAAGTTAAGCAAAACAGCTAGTTCCCCTCCCCTGATAAGAGAAAAGAGACAACCCCCGGTGCCCTCAGATGGCTGCCTATGTACCACACTTGTAGTCCATTAACTTTGCCTCCCATCCATATCACTACGTCTGTACCTTAGCATGGACGGGAGTAGAGATATACAGATACAAATTTTCTAGGCCGAGCAGAAGTACCGATACTTTTCCTCGAAGTACTCGCCAATACCGATACCTTTATTTTAGTATCATGTGACATTTTTTCTAAAACAATACAGACCTATGATTTTAGTGCAGTGGTGGAGCACCAGAGCCTGGTCACAGCTGCAACTGAAGAATACTACCATCAGCTATAGAGGACTACAAATCCCAGCAATACATTACACAACAATGCAGAATACCATCAGCTAAAGGGGACTACAAATCCCACTAATACATTATACAGCAATTATTAACATTATACAGAAAGTACTCCTCTATAGCTGATGGTATTATTCTTCAGTGGCAGAACTACCAGCGTTACAAATATACTGTACATTGTCAAGCAAAGTATTTCTTTAAGTTTTGGCCCACTTAGTCATCATTAGGGATGTCCCGATACCGATACTAGCATTGGTATCGGGACCGAAATATATATACATACATACATACATACATACACACTACAGCAATAGTTACAATTTCTGCTAACATGAATAGCATACATGATCCATGGTACAACTACATGTTATGTACCATGGATCACGATTTAACCTATTCATGTTAGCAGCGGAGAATTGTAACAGTCTATTAGTGCAGTGTACTGAAAGTGTACTAGGTTAAATGATCCACAGCACACACGTCCAGTACACTGCAGCAATAGAGTTATAATTCTCCCCTGCTAACATGAATAGGTTAAATGATCAAAGAGGCAGATGCATGATCGGATTTGTCTCAAATGAAAGTTCTTCATAATCATAAAGAATTTGGCCTAAAATCATTAGTCTGTATTGTTTAAAAAATGTCGCCTGTCCCTTTAAGAAAAAAGTATCGGTAATTGGTAACGGCAAGTACAAGAGGGGGAAGTACTCGTACTTGGTCTTGAAAAAGTGGTATCGGGACATCCCTAGTCATCATGTTTCCAAACAGCTCCAACTCTCTAAGCTCCACTTCCCTGAACTTCACAAGGGACAGAGCAGTCTGTAGAAGCTGCCCAGCTACTAGCTTGGAGAAGGAAAGAAGGAGTGAGGAGCATGGAGGAGGAGAGGAGTGTTTTGCCTTGCTGTGTGTTTTTGGAGACACACACAGCTGCTAGCACAAATAGGGTGTCTCCATAGGACCCTGCAAGGAAAAGTATCCACTCTAAAACACAATATCAGGGCTAGGGGATTCTTATTCTGCAAGAAGCTAACATTTTTAACATCAAGAAGCAGCATCCAATGTAAGGGCTAGTTCACACCAAATGCATTCCAGATACAGAGCAGTTACAGAACGGATCAAAACTGCGTCCAATGTATTCCACTGGTATTTTGGACTCAAATTGCCCTGGAACGCACTTTTTCTTTTTACAAAAACGGCCCGGAACGCATCAAAAACGTGGCAAAAAACGCTGCTTGAGCAGAAACTCATGCAGATCTGGTCTGCATTTGGTGTGAACAAGCCCTAAGTCAGCATTTGAAATAGCTTAAAAACCTTTTGACTTTAATATCACTTTAATCATCCCAACAGAGATACAGTCAGCAATAATAAACTGATAGATTCAAAGCCTTTCTCACTTATAACTGAACAAAAATATTTTGACTCAAGATGCACATTAAACTTCTTCAGAGCTATCCAAGTATAACGTTTATAAGTTGCTATTGCTTTAGGTCAGTCACCTCTCACAGCAGAGGCTTAAAAATGCCCAGTGTTAGCCAGTTTGGGCATGAAGACCCTGGTAGATGGACAAAGCAGCACCAACCGAGTCGATAGGCAGGGCTGCACCTGGATACACTTCTTTATTTGAACCAAGAGGCACATTAATTAGAATATAGCTTTAGTATTCTAAGTGGAACATCATAGAGCCATAAGATGCTTAACAGCCATTTAATAAAAATCAAAGTACATAAGATCAAAATAAAACCAGATTTCTACGGTAGAGTAATTCCCATTAATTATTAAAGCCCTATAATGCAGGGATGAAATGAGTTCACCAGCAACAATGCAAGACTAAAAAGTTGGCAAAAACAGAAATAAGGTCACGAGACAGATAGATGTTACATAATAAAAGAAATACACAAATGAAATTAAGGCTTGGTTCACACTAAGCGGATTGTCGCAGCCGATTGAGCACGACAAAAGCGTTCCCCCCAAAAAAACCATTCATTCTTATGGCCCTTGCTCACGCCTGAGCATTTTATTGCAATAAGTAAAATGCCTGTCGCTGGAAAAAAGGTACATGGGCTTCTTTTTGGCAGCTCGTCTTGTCCAAATAGAGTCAATAGGAAATTATTGGAAACACGGGTTGCAGTTGGTTTTGGGTGTTTTTACATGCGTTTGTGCGCGTTTTTTTGCCATTTACATATATCACAATCTGCTCATAAAAACGCAGTAAACATAAAACAATACTGTAATGTGTGCCTTACTGTAATCCAAGTACGTGCATAAGAACGTACAGCAAAAAAAAACATGTTTCTACGCGCAAAACCGCGGTCGCCTAGGTGTGAATCAAGCCTTAACCCAAAACAATTTTAAGACTGCATAAACGGAACATTAAAACTAGAGCTGCAGCTAACGATTATTTTCCAAATCGATTAGTTGGACGATTATTAAGTTCGATTAATCGGATAAAAAAATTAAATACATTTTAAAAAATGGCTCCAGTGATGGACTACTAGTTTGTATTGAGATTGTAGTCCATCACAGGAGAGAGTAGTTGTTGCATCCCTAATTAAAACATTCTGTTGGTGTCTAGAATTCACTAGGTTTCTAAAGTCTGGACACCTGCACTGCTTTGAAGATTCCTACCTTGTGGCAAAAGAATCACTGATTGCTGGCTACAGTTGTAACTTTCAACAAACTGTCATGATAATGTAACAAAATAAATAAATACAATGTGTCAAATAACTATAGATACAGTGTGCAAGCTATTCAATAATAAAAAAAAATGTTTTACACCGTCCATAAAATAAAGAAACAACCAAACCTTCAAGACTTTCTTGGGCATCAGAGGAAAGTTCTCCATTATGCAACTGGTCTTGTAAATACTGGATGATAGAAAATGCCAAACGTTTCTTGTCCGCCATTATTTATACAAGAGCCACCTCTACAAATGCAATAAACAGCTGTTAGGAAATGAAAGAAAACCATCTTACAAAGTCTGACATTTTACAAAAAAAGGGGGGGGGGGGGGGGGACAGGTGCTCTAGACCAGTGGTTCTCAACCTGTGTAACCTTAGGACCCACATTTTAAATTGATCATTAAGTCGTGACCCAAGTCGCAGTAGTGCGCATTCCAGTGAGTGAATGGGAATGCGACACACCAGAATGCGTGGTAGGTGCGATTGCATGTTAAAATGAATTATTTGCACAGGACGGTGCGATTAACACACTGTACTAGTGTGAACGGGCCCTCAAAAACACACAATCTCACACACAAACATACACAACAACAGCAGAAAAATTTAATTTCTTTTTTAGGATCCACCCAGTCTTCCTAACTTACGAGAACTGGAGTGGATCCTCAGCCTGGGGTCCAGTGTAGGCTTATGTGCTGTGACAGAGCTCCATCCATATGTGCATTGCTTGTACATCTCCCTTGTGTGCCATGTAGAGGTGCCATGAGCCAGAATGTGACATCACTCCCGTCCAGGCACCTCTACAGGAAACGCGAAGGAGCTGTAAGCAATGCATGTACAGGTGGAGCTACCCCGCAGCCAGGGGACCTCAAACTGACACTTGGTGCCAGGCAGCATATTTTGAATGGCTGCTCGGCACGAGAACTGACAGTGCTGTGCTAGGGGGAGACTGAGGAGCCTCTCACCTAGAGCAGTGGAAGGCAGACAGCAACCCACTGAAAATGGGTCACGACCCACTTTTGGGTCACAACCCACCAGTTGAGAACCACGGCTCTAAGTCATACTAGGTCCAGAAACACTCATGTGTCATGAGATAAATCAAGACATCAGTATTTTATTGTCAATGTTTCAAGAGAGCTCAGCTCATCTTTATCAAGACCCTATCAGATGGACTCAGTTCTGTTAAAAAGCCGACAATAAAATGCTGATGCTTTGACTCATCTCCTCTGCAAGACAACTGAGTATCTCTATACTTACTTTGGATATACATATATATTTGTGATAAAAAAACAAACAAACAGTACCACAAGTTTAATTTCAAATTAGTCAACAGGCCTACTGACATTGAAGATATATTAAAAAAATCTTTATAAAATATGCATCAAAAAGGAAAAGCACCAGGCTGAAATGTCCTAAAATATTAATCACAATATTATGGTGGAAATGTTTACTGGCAAAGTCGGGTCCTAGATTAAATTCTCAATAGGAAGATTTTCAGAATAGAATTATATATTCTTCGCATGCTTGCATACCATACAGTAAGGTTATTTCTTTACGAACACCAGTTCCCATATGCAACTTAAAAGCATACTGGTAAGTGAGGCAGCATCTAGCAAAACACCAGCCTGTGTGTGTGTTGTCAGAGAATATACCAAGGTTTATTAAAGCAACATTGCCTCCTAACTTAAAGGAGAACTATGAGGTGAGTGCTTTTCAATGAGACTGTCACAGGTCGGCTCAGTAGATCGGGAGGTGAGCGAACACATATCGGCGTTTGCTCACCTGTCGATCCTGTCACGGCTCTCTGCCGTGACAGGGGAGGGGCTGGATTCCCCTCTCCCCGCTCCGATCCGCCAGCGCTGACTGGTGGATCGGACGGGGGAGGGGGCGGGTACAGCTGCCTCTGCCTCTAGATAGTCAGAGCCAGCTGTCACTCACGCAGCTGGGTGGATCTCGACAGTAATGTATGGATCCTTCCCGGCTGCAACGGTCTCAGTATACAGCAGGGATGTCTAAACTCCGGCCCTCCAGCTGTGGTGGAACTACAAATCCCATGAGGCATTGCAAGATGCTCACAGCCACGACTCCCGGAGAGAGATGCATCATGGGATTTGTAGTTTCACCACGGCTGGAGGGCCGGAGTTTAGACATCCCTGGTACACAGCAAGCTGCGGCTTGCGATATACTGAGCTTTGGGGCACGGGAGGACGCTAGTTTATGTCCTCCAGTGACCCTTAGGAGAACTATGGGGAAAAACACTTGCCCCATAGTTCTCTTTTAACTACATTTGTATTGAGATTGTAGTCCATCACAGGAGTGACCTTGACCTTACAACACACACAGGGGTCATGGGGAGCAAAAGTAGCCACCCTTCAGAAGAAAGGAGAGTGTCAGTACGAATTCAGAGATAATTTGAGGATCTACAGCCGAGTGATACATAAATAAGATAAATTTTTGTTAATAGTAAGGTGCCACTTTTAAGAAGCCAAATCACCAAGTGATGTGGGGTGGGAGGAAGGGTAGCAAGTCATACCCAGAGGTATAAGGGATGCAATTTTGTTGCAGCCACTGTTCGACAGATTTTTTGGAGTTCAGTTTTAAAGCATGTCACCAGGGGAAAATAAAAAATAAAACTACCCTTGCTACCTCTGCTACTACCCTGGCTACCCCCATACTGCAAAATTTAAACTGGCTGTTTCTGTCTAAGGTACATGTGTAAGGGATTTCTACTTACCTGATGCCCGCTCCTGCAGCCTGTTCCCCCTCAGAGGGCCTTTGAAGTCATCACTACATTATATGTGAGGACGCTGAGGGACAGTCCAGAAGCATAGGACGGATGAGGAGAGCACTGACAACCAGGGGGAGTGGGGATCACTAAAAGACCTTTGCACAGCCAGAGAAATTAAAAGTTTTCACAAGCAGTGCAGCTACCCCTGCACTGCAATGGTTAACTAAATGTTTATGCCTAGGGGACCGGATAAGGCTGTTCAACTTACCTGCTCCCCAATGGGTCCCTTTGGGCTGCTAGACGGGTCCTCACAGCCTCTTCTCCCTTTCACTCCAGCAGAATAAGGGCTGCTGATGTCATCAAGTACAATGCAGGTTCCATAGCCCTATATTGTACATTAGGACACCCTGGGACAGTCCAAAGCCAGAGCGGAGGGGGAGAAGATAAGGGGTCTGACTTCTGGGTTAGAGGGGATAAGGTAAGTAAAACTGCTATTTCCTGTACCCTAGGTATAAACGAGCAGTTAATCCTTGCAGTACAGGGCTCACTGAAATCATTGAGATTGCCTTGATGATTGCAGTAAATTCCCTTCTAATAGTCACTATGAGAAGGAAGTGCTGACACAGACTCTTCCTGGAGGCGCATTTGTCCGTTTCATCCCCCCAAGACTGTGCACACCAACTCTCCCCATATCTCAAAATAAATCCCCGGGACTGCACCCCCATCACCCTTCCAATATCTACAGAAAACTCACAAAGCAGCTACTCACTGGACACTCGGCACATGCAACCAACCAGTCTCTGGAGCCGGAAGCGGAATGAGTTGGAAAGAGCACCGGCGGAAGTGGCGTGCAATGTGCGCTGTGACACTCGTGTAGCCGCTTATTGTCATGTGCCTTGCTTGGCTCGTATGTACATGAGACGGCGCACGCGGTGTGTATTAATAAAGTAAATAAAGCACGGCGCGAATGTGGAACGTAGGTGAATAGACCGAGCCTCGCCCCTCCTATCCGTGCGCTCATTCTCCGCCCAGCGCCCCCATACTGCCTTGCGGCCCCGGCACACCGAGCGGCGGCTCCCATAACACATGGCGCCCACAGGTACTGTGCACGCAGCTGTCATACAATGTTAATGGCCTGCATTGAGAGAGGGGGAGGGTGCTGGGAGTGGCAGGGTGGAGAGCTTTCCAGGGGGATTACATTTATGTGACAGCCCTGTCATTTGTTCCTGGATCACCTGGCTCTCTGTGTGACTGCCTGCTTCTGCTGTGCCCTGAAGGTAAGACCTGCTCGCCGCTAGCGTTATTCTGGAGGGTTACTGAGCTCGGCAACCAAATCCTAATTTTGCATATACAGCTCCCAGTAAAAAAAAATAATTAGTATTTACATAACCGCTCATGGCTCTATTTCTTTATAAGTAACAGTGAGGCGAGATCACAAACACTGGTGCTTTTATTTCCACTTTTGCTGTCCGATTGGAGAAACCTGCACTGTGGGGTTCATATACTAAAGGCAAAAGGGTTGTTCACTTTGTAAAGGCATTTTTGTTCCCCTTAGCTTAGTGAATGACATGACATTTAACTTTGCAAGGAATATCCAATCACATGCAAGGGAAATAAAAACAGTGCTTGCACATGATTGGATGATGGAAGTCTGCAGAACTTCGCCTCATTCACCAAGCTAAGGACACTTCCTCTGCAGAAGTGCCAATTTTCTTGCAAAGTGATCAGCCCTCTTGCCTTGATTAAAGCAACCCCCATTTATGTGTTACTGTTCACACAGAATAGAAAAAAAAAATCTTTTGGATCTTTTTTTGGAGACGGCCTTTTAGTAGACTGCAAGTTTCTCTAAACGGTTTGAAAGGGAGGCTGTCCCCAAAGAGATGTCGCCAGCACACCAGAAAGCTTGTTTTAAAGTGATATTAAAATCAAAAGGTTTTTAAGCGATTTCAAATGCTGATGAAATCGCTTACAATGGATGCTTCTCCTTGATGTTTAAAAGTTTGTTTCCAGCAGAATCAGCTGGTCCCATGAGCACCGGTCCTGATATCCTCTTTTAGGCTGGCTCCTTTCCCTTGTAGGGTCATGTGTAGCCACCCTTGTGTGTGCTAGTAAACTGTGTCTCCACAAACCCCCAGGCACAGCATAGTAAGTCACTCCACTACCCCCTAACACCCCTCCCTCCTTTCTCCCTTCTCAATACTAGTAGATGAACATCAGCTGGAGACTGTTCTCTCCTTTGTGATTTGAGAGAGTTGGAGCCAGTTGTTCAGGAACATGATAAATGTTAAGGTGCCCATACACTGCACGATTCTCGTCCGAGAATCGCGGGAAATCCCACGATCGTACGAGAATCGTGCAGTGTAAATGAAGACGTGCGACCGTTTCTACTGTACGGTCGCACGTCTTTTGTCTAAGGAGCATTCTAGAAAACCAGCTGAAAATCTTACGATTTTCGGCTGGTTTGTGGCATGCTCGGGAGAAAAATGCCGAGCGGCGGGCTTGCGATGATCGCAAGTACGATCTGCCTGTCCAAGATGGTCAGATCGTACGTTTTTTAAATTACTTTACAACCATCGCAAGACTAAGGTCTTGCGATGGTTGTAAAGTTTATGGCCACCTTTAGTGCTTGGGTAAAAATGTAAAGCTATGCTTTGCTGGGCAATGCATATTTGTTTCATCTGGATTTATTGTTGAAAAAAGTTTGAGATTAATACTGCTTTAAAGTGAACATCTCGTGGAATATTTATGTTTGTATATATTTGTATATTGTATATAAATTAGGGCTGTTACTGATTAAAATTTTCGTGCTCGATTAATCCAAAAAATTTTAATCGATTCATTTTGATTAATTATAACGCACATACAGATCCAACTACATTGGCCTATACACATACAGCACAGCAATGAAGTAATAAAATGAACTGGGATCACACTAATCCAGCATGTTATTCATCTCACGTGCCCCATTCAATATAAGTGGGGCAACTCAGAATAATAATGTGCTGGATTAGTGTGATCCTAGTTCATTCTATTACTTCATTGCTGTGTGCGCTCGTGCCGAAAGTGAACATGCCACATGTGACGCAGGATCACAATGAAAGAGAGGAGCTTGAAGGAATGTATAAATCACTTTTGAAATTCATTCTGCCAATGTAGAGTAATCATCGTTGGTTTGAATGCTTCCGATTTTAACATAGCAGAAAACGGCATTAAAGGAGAACTATGAGTTGAGTGCTTTTCACTCACCTCATAGTTCTAGCCGACCTGTGACAATGAGACTGTCACAGGTCAGCTCAGTAGATCGGGAGGTGAGCGAACACATACCGGCGTTCGCTCACCTCCTCGATCCTGTCACAGCTCTCTGCCGTGACGGGGGGGCTGGATTCCCCCCTCCCCGCTCCGATCCGCCAGCGCTGACTGGCGGATCGGGGTGGGGACGGGTACAGCTGGCTCTGCCTCTAGATAGGCAGAATCAGCTGCCACTCACGCAGTTGGGCGGATCCCGGCATAATTGTCGGGATATGCTTCAGCTGTGGCGTACTGCTCGCGGTATACTGTGGCGTCTCAGGATTACGCGAGCTGCAGCTCGCGGTATACTGAGCTTAGGGTGACGGGAGGACGCTAGTTTGTGTCCTCCCGTTACCCTAAGGAGAACTATGGGGAAAAGCCATAACCCCATAGTTCTCCTTTTAAGTAGGGAACTCTTGACACTTTTCAGGTCTGAGTATTGCAGATAATTACTTAAAATGATTGAGGCCAGTATGAATTAAGTATTATGTCATAACATTATTTGTGTGCTGGCAGACTCAGCAAAAACATTTTACTTTATTTAATGTTTGCATTGGTGCATGTTCAGTCCTCGGATTCTTGGTGACAGATTCCTTTTTAACCCTTTCGCTGCCAAGGACGTACGGCATACGGA